GGAGCCCAATGTGGGGCTCGATCCCAGGAACCTGGGATCATGACCTGAGCCGAAGGCAGATGCTTAACTGACTGAGCCACCCCAGGTGCCCTATAGATGTGCTATATTGAGAATGACTGTCAAAAGCCTCTCTTGTTTTCTGATGAAAAAGCAGAAGCAAAAGTAGAAAAAAAAGAATATAACTATGTAAGTCTACTATTTTCCAGTTAGTTTTGCCATGAAATTGATTTTTAAATCTCTGTTTTTGGAGGTGGCCTAGATCTTCCAAGGTTTGGCTTATTACATAACTTGTTGCTGCTCTATGTTTTTATCAAATCTGTTAATAGCACCAATTTTCGGTTTCACACTCTAGAGGAAGTCATTTTGCCCCACCATTATTCTTTCTTTCCTTCTCAGTGGATGCTAGCTCAACTTCTTTATCTGTCTTGGCTTTTTGTTTGTATTGCAGGTCAAAGAGTTTGGCTTTGCACACTGTGCTAACAAAGAGCATGAGTTCAGATGATGGGGAAGTTGTAGAGAGTGAAGATATGCCAGCCAGCACCTTTCTTTCAGAAACAGACCCACTTAGCCAAGGAAATGACAAGTTGCCCTTTAAGGCAAACTCTGGCAGATCACAGCTGGGAAGTTCTTCAGTTTCACACCCAAGTATTATACATACAGAATCAGAGTATTTGCCAGAAACAGTTAAAGCAAACTGCCAGGAAGAAACTCCAGAAACTACTGCAAGTCCTGTAGAATACCAAGATAAGCTCTACTTGCACTTAAAAGAAAACTTCAGTAAAGTAAAAGCATATGCTGTGGAAATCGGAAAGAAGATTCCGGTCCCTGATCAGTGTACCATTGAAGGTATGTGCTCTAAACACCCTAAACTTGAGAAATTTCAGTCATCGCTGGGGGGCAAAAAGGCTCAAATCATAAAAATTGCCATGCCCTGGATTTTTTTTTGCAAAATAGATCGTTTCAAAACACCCTCACAGTATTTTAATTGCTTTTTTCCCCCTAATAAGTTCAATCATCTTTTTTATTTCTATTCAAATCTACTTAGATGTACTTAAGTTCACCGACTCCGATTTTTTTCAAACCTCAAAATATATTGTTCCTGGTTCTCTGTCCGTAGTGTTTAGGAAACTCCTGGAAGGGGTCCGTGTTCCCTAAAGCAGGCTCTGGGGTAAGGGTCCAGTCAGAGACATTTTTCTAGCCACATAATCATGCAAGGAAGCCATGCACAACATTGAGCTCCAAGAGATTTTTCTCTCAATCATTCAGCAGCATGTATGAAGCAGCTACTGTGTGCCAGGCAGTATGCTAAAAAAAATGCATCTTTGTGTGAGATTCAGCTGTGACCCAAACAGATACAATCCCTGGCCTCTGGAGATTATAGAAAAAAAAGAGTGAGATCATAGTCAGGAGGTGATATATGTCAGGACCCAGTGAGAGTGTGAGCTAGTCAGAAAACAGAGAACAAAGAAAAAGATGTCAGGAACTGGGATTTCCCTCGGGTGCACAATTTAAGGAGGTGCCAAAAATTTTTAAGTTAAGACAGGATCAGTATGTCTTGCCAAACCATATTGGAGCAGAGGCAAAAGGAGCAAGAGGTAATATTGATCATGTTTCCACTTACAATTTTGATTTTGTTCATCATGAACCTTTTGTATTAATTTTGATTTTTTTCGAATATTATGTATTTTGACTACTAAATTTTCTCATGCTTCTTAAATTTTGTGCCCTGTTCCTGGAAAAGAGGATAGGTTTGAGGCATACTTACTAAAATGGAAGAGTGCCGGGGCAAGCTCATCCTCCTGGTAGTGAGTTGAACAGATTTGGATATTTTGAAGGCACTGTCAGCTAATTAGGTTTTTCTTGCAGTCCTTCTCAGTTAGCAGCCATTATATTCCCTTGAGATCAAGATGAAGGTCCTAGCCCTCTTGTTGGACGTGACAGCTTTTCCCAGACTAGACAGCACATCTTCCAGAAAGAAACAGTGGAAGGATAGTGAATCCAATTCACATTCACCCACGCACTGACTGTCATCCCCCTCAGTGGATGGTACTAGGAGGGTCCCATTTTCCATACTCCACTTACTATCCCTTCTCCCACTCCAAAGCAGAGAAAAGAATGTATTCTCATGCTAACAAAGGGAAAGGGGGATTCAAGCATTTGGGAATGACAAATATTGTCTGCATATCTGTAGAATCTGACATTTTCAGAGGTGTTTACATTAATTCGTTGATTAGGATTCTTAAAACTCTTTTTTTAATGGTGACCAAAAAAAGTGATATTGCTCATGTTCAATATAAGTTTTGGATAATTAGGTATAACAAGATTTGAGATTAACTAAAATCAATAAAACTCAACACAAACTCTTTACAATTTCGCATTTCATTAATACTCTATGTATTTAATGCACAGGTTGGAGAATTTAATGTAAAAGAGGTTAAATGAATTTCCCAGCTTAAGGGAGGAAGTTTGTAGCAAATGTAAAGTTAGACATATTTCCATCTGCTAGAATAGTTTTGTTTTTTAAGTTTAGCTTAAAACATTGAAGCTGTGCTATGTGATGAGTTTTAACCTTGTGAAAACCTGTGGAGGTCCTGCAGTTACTTCAAGCGTCTAATTGTCAAAAACACATGGTATTTCTTATTGCCTTGAATTATTTTGGGAGTTTGAGGGTGACTTGGGTTTTTTTTCCAAAATATTGAATGAATCCATCATCTTTACTCAAAACAAACAAAAATCAAAAGGTATTTTCTTTTGATGTTTCCTACCGGGAATGGCCTAGAACTGAGTATGTATTTTTTTGAGTTGACATTTTGGAATTTATTCGCATTTTTGTAATTTCCTGGAAGTTTCTGGAAAATTCCTTGTGCAGGGATATGTGTGAGGGATTTATATGACTCACTGTAAATACATCCACTGAGAAAGGACTCGTGCTGACTGCAGGGGACGCATTGTTATTCTTCCCGAGATTGTGTAAACCATTCAGGAGAAGGCCAGCAGTCATCTGGCTGACACAATTTTGCTTGCTGTCATGAGATCACTCAGCTCAACAGTATCACATTTCTTTCCTTAAAAATTTCTTGAAGAAAGATTTAGGCTTAGAAACTGTATTACGGTTATTGTGTTGTTGGTGTAAAAAAAGGCACATTTGGCCTTTCTTGCTGAATTATGCAAAGTAATCAAGAAACAAAGGGAAGAAGCATAGAAATCACTTCCACAACATTTAGAGTTAAAAAGAAAAATAGCCAGCAGGAAACAAGAACAACAACAACAATGAGTTAGGACTAATTTTAGACTGATGTCATAATGCCTACACCATAAGAAAATGATAAAACAACACTTTAAGGAAATTCTTTTGGTATCCTTTTGAATCATATGGAAAAAACCAATACTAATATCTGACTCCCTTACTTTGACCTACAAAAATGTCACTTTCATAAGGTTCAATCTAATACTTTAGTAATAAACTATGTTGAAAGAACAGGAACTTTACTAGTCAGAGTGCAGCAGAATTCAGTATTAGGTGAATCAAGGTCACAAATACCATTCTTATCCCCAGTCAGCCCTCTTATTATTGCATGATATTAATCACAGAGGGGGCAGGTAATGGACTATAAATACAGCAGCACAAATCTATCATCATGTCTGGAACAATTGTCAAACCCCAGGTCTTATTGAGGTTGGGTCAGCAGTGTCATTTTGAGTATGAAAGAGCCTGTTATTCCCAGGTCAATAATTCTCTCCTGGGCCTTCTAGGCCTCTGGTGTGGATGCAGTTTAGCCAACCATGGAAAGTTAGGTATTCATATTCAGAGTGATGGGCTGACATCACTGCCTGATTGTATTTGCGTACAAGGCTGAAGGAATTTAGTTCATCAGCTAAAGGGCATTTTAAATATCTGAATCACTGGAATTCGTTTATGTGAACAAAAATGATTAGAGGTTAAAAAAAAACCCCAAAACACATGCTATTGAAATAAATCCTTGAAAATCTGACCCATCACTGGTGTTCTATAAAGGATGATATAAAAGCTTACAAGAACCCATCAATGCGGCTTTGGTTCGCTTTGAAGTATTCCCTGATTGGGTGCAAATACATTCCATCTGTAGAGCATATCAGCAAGCCTGACTTGCAGAAAGCTAATTTTAAAGCTAGTAATGTCGTCCTTTCTCTAACAGACTGACATGAGGTGATTTTTCAACTTGAACCAATATAAGAATATACAAAAATAAAAGTTCATTTAAAATATCAAGAAACAGGTGCTGTTTCATAATTAATTACAAATAAAGTTTTCTTATTGAAATTTTGCATGTCCAACCCCATGCTGGGACGACCAAGGAGGCAAAGCCAGCCCAGGCCTTACCTCTTTCTCCTTGGTTGGTCTCGTCGGGGGGTGATATAACACTCATTCATTGAGTGGTTCTGGAGGAAGTGTCCTTTTTAAAAATAGATTGGTTTAGCTGTAGGATTAGGATCATTTATCCTTAAGGAGAATTGTAAGATTTGGAGGCAGACACGAATCCTCAAGCTTTTCCACACAATTTCAGAGGAAAAAACAGCAGATAGTAAGATATTACAAATTCCCTGTTGCCTCATTTCATTGATATGGTCCACTGGGGCTCCTGTTTGAAGAACACTAGCTAGGGAAAAGTTTTCTAGAGAATTTTTCTTGGTGCTTGGGAATTTATCATGGATTACCTGTCTGCCAGTTCCCATTTCTCCCGAGTGGGTTTTAGTCAAAAGAAGATAGATAAAATAGTGGCCAGGTTCTCCCCTTAACCTTATCCAGCCACTCATATCCTGGCTCCAGTCATCCTCAGTTTCCCATGAGAAACATTTAAATAAAAACATTTAATTAATTATAAAACATTTAAATAAGTAAAAAGAAGACCTACAAACCCTTTTGGAAAGATCCCTTCCAAACTCTTCTATTCAGTTAACATCAGTTACTGCCCTTGTTCATCCCCAACAGAGTAGCTGCAAGGTCACTGGTAAAGATGTTACACATTTAAATACACACCTTAACTATTTGCAGAGCTCCACTAGAGAACATCAGATAACTTTATTTCTCATTAATTATATTTTCAAAAGTTACTTCTAAAAAAAAAAAGAAAAGAAAAAGTTTGATTTTCTTTGAACATTCAAATAGATAAAGAAAAATGCCCTAACCATGCTATTGAACAAAAAGGTATGCTGATTATCTGCATGTTGGCCTATCTGATGTGTATCTATGAATGAGAAGTATATTCATCCACCTAGGAAACAGTACAAAGTAAAATTGGTGAGCACATGTACACGCGGGCCATTTTGTATGGAAATCCAGGAGTGATTATCTGCCTATAAATCAAATGAGTCATCTAATCCTCCTAATATAGTGCCCACCTTGGGTAGGTTTAAAGAGACATTGTTAATAAATAAAGAGAAGTAAAAGCAAATTCATAATGGAGCAAAAATGCACAGGAGTTCATTTGGCATATCCTGCCCGAAATTTAGGCAGCCACATTAAAAGAAGGAGAAGGGGAGATGCTTAGGAGCAGAAGTAGTTTGCTGTGGCAGGTTTCATATTCTTAAATATATTCTTCTAAATGTATTATTTTTATAATAGAAAGATATGGCATTATGTTCTTATATCTGTAGTTAGTATTTTTTTAATCTTTTTTTTAGTACAGTTCATACTCAGAGATTATTATTAATCATCCCTGATTTTTGTTTGGGGGTTGTCTTTACTCCAAAGCATGCAGTGCTGTACGAAATGGTCCTGGACCATGGGTGGTCACCAGCACAAGAGTACATTCCAACCCAGCTTGCTACAAACCAAATTTCAGGAAGTGAATGTTATTTTTCCATTT